AGTGCAAGATAGCCAGGTTCTGCTGACCCTCTATTAAAAATTCAAACAGGAACCAGTTTGTCTGAGAAGCATTCGAAATGCTGCGTCGGAAACCAACCCGCCTGGAGCTGAAACTAGATGATATAGAAGAGTTTGAGAGCATTAGAAAGGATCTTGAGGTGAGAGTAAACCTTCTGGAGACACTCCTGTATGGAAACCAGGTGATTGAACCCTGGTAATTCGGATTTGTGCATAACGGGGCTTGTCTGAGAATAGAACCTCACTCTGCAGCAGTGTACGAGCATGTACAAAAACCAATAGAAAATTTCAGCTAGTGCAGAGCAGCAGCCTTTTCATTTAGTGATGGTTCATGTACCGAGCATCTTACTTCTCTGCTCTACAGTCTCTGCAGCCTCCAGCTAACGTCTGGGTGCAGTTCAAGTTGGCTGTTGTGTATCTTAGACATCTGCTTCTCTCCTCTTCTCAGTAGTCAAGTGAAGCTGGGAGTCTTGATTTGACAGTCCCTAAATTAGTACCTCTGGGGCCTGTCATTCTCAATGGAGAACTCTGATGTTGGAACTTGCTTTCTTGGGACCCTAATTGTGGGACCTCCATTCACTTTATCTCTAAACGCATCCTGAGCAAGACTTGGCTTCCCTTAACTTGCAGGTTTCAGAGTGGTCGCCGTGTTAGTCTGGATCCGCAAAAAGAACGAGGAGTACTTCACAACTACCACTTTGAAACCTGTCACCATGCAAGGCACTGAATTTAGCCATATGAAGTGGAAATCTTTAACTTGCAGTGCACTGCCATGCACCTGTGTGACTGTAGCATCACCCCTATTAATTGATAGCCATTTGTATACATGCGGGGTGTGAGATGTCTTAATTCTGTGACTCGTGTATTAACACTTATGGGACAACATATTTTCATTAGGGCTGTCAATCACAGTTAACTCACGCGATTAACTCAAATTAATTGCGATTAAAAATTAATCAGTTTTAATTGCACTGTTAAACGATAGAATACCAATTTAAATATATTCAATATTTTTGATTTTCTACATTTTCATATATATTGTGTTGTAATTGAAATCAAAGTGTATATTTTTATTACAAATATTTGCACTGTAAAAATCATAAATAGTATTTTTCAATTCACCTCATACAAATACTGTAGTGCAATCTCTTTGTTTTGAAAGTGCAACTTACAAATGTACATATTTTTTTGTTACATAACTGCACTCAAAAACAAAACTGTAAAACTTCAGAGCCTACAGGTCCTACTTCTTGTTCAGCCAATCACTAAGACAAACAAGTGTGTTTACATCTACAGGAGATAATGCTGCCCTCTTCTTATTTACAATGTTACTAGAAAGTGAGAACAGGCATTTGCATTGCACTTTTGTAGCTGGCATTGCAAGATATTTGCGTACCAGATATGCTAAACATCCGTAGGTCCCTTCATGCTTCGGCCACCACTCCAGAGGACATGCTTCCATGCTGATGACGCTTGTTAAAAAAAATGTGTTAATTAAATTTGTGACTGAACTCCTTGGGGGAGAATTACAATTGTCGTCTGCTCTGTTTTATCCGCATTCTGCCATATATTTCATGTTATAGGAGTCTTGGATGATGATCCAGCACATGTTCATTTTAAGAACACTTTCACAGCAGATTTGACAAAAAGCAAAGAAGGTACCAATGTGAGATTTCTAAAGATAGCTACAGCACTCGACCCAAAGTTTAAGAATCTGAAGTGCCTTCCAAAATCTGAGAGGGACGAGGTGTGGCACTTGTTTTCAGAAGTCTTAAAAGAGCAACTCTCCGATGTGGCGCCTACAGAACCCGAATAACCAAAAAAGAAAATCAACTTTCTGCTGGTGGCATCTTTCTCAGATTATGAAAATGAACAAGTGTCGGTCCACACTGCTTTGGATTGTTATCAAGCAGAACCCATTATCAGCATGGACGCATGTCCCCTTGAATGGTAGTTAAAGCATGAAGAGACCTATGAATCTTTAGCGCATCTGGCACATAAATATCTTGTGATATCGGCTACAACAGTGTCATGAGAACGCTTGTTCTCACTTTCAGATAACATTGTAAACAAGAAGCGGGCAGCGTTATTTCCTGCAAATGTAAAAAAACTTGTTTGAGCAATTAGCTGAACAAAAAGGACTGAGTGGACTGGCAGGCTCCAAAATTTTACATAGTTTTACTTTTGAATGCAGATTTTTTTTGTACATAATTGTACATTTTCAACTTTGATAAAGAGATTGCACTACAATACTTGTATTAGGTGAATTGAAAAATACTATTTCTCTTACAGTGCAAATACTTGTAATCAAAAATAAATATAAAGTGAGCACTATACTTTGTATTCTGTGTTGTAATTGAAATCAATATATGAAAATGTAGAAAACATCCAAAAATATTTAAATAAATGCTATTCTATTATTAACACATAATATATGTGTTAATATAATTAATCACAATTAATTTTTTTAATTGCTTGACAGCCCTAATTTTCATCGTTACGGCTATCCAAAAACATCCAATGAACTTGTTCAGTCTGTAAGCAGTTTCTCTGTAATGAAATCAGCTTACCTAACATTTTTCATACCTTCACAGTTTGAAGGCTCTCCCTGTGGTCAGTTGTCAGAGCTGAAATGGACATCTCCTTGACAGTGCTAACATTCCATCCATTGAAGAGTTTCTCTAGTTTTCCATTGTCCTTATTTTTAGTTGATCACTTTTCCCCCCCACCCCCCAGAGTTGTAAGAAGCAGCGTGAAGATGTGGATGAAGTGGGAGCCGGTGATGGAGAAGGAGCTATTGGTCTGAGCAATGACCACAAGAGTCGAGAACAAATGATAAATGACCGAATTGGTTACAAACCTCAGCCCAAACCCAACAACCGTTCCTCCCAGTTTGGAAGTTTTGAATTCTAGAGATTTGATGGCCTGCCACCTTCCACGGGCAATTGAGTATTGGACCATGATGGGGTGTTCATCCCAGACAGTGCTGGCAGAGATGTTCAAAGGCCGTTTGGGTAGTTCTAGAGTTGGCTGGGACTGGCCTGTGTCTGCCAATGAGTCTTGGGCTTCAATAGGAGAAAGTGTTTGCCTTTTCCCAAGGCTGGTGGGATGTGTTTTTAACTTGACTTGTTACTGTACCTCCAGAAACCCCTCTGCCCAGCCACCTTGTTTTAAATAAATATTTTTTTTTAAATGAGAGGCTCTTAACGTATCAGAAAACACACAGGGGCAGGTAAAGATTAATGGAAAATGTTAACAGCAGAGTTGGCCTCCTGTGGGGTAGAAAAACAGGAATCAACCGAGGCCACTGCCCCCATAGGGGTTTGCACAGAGGCAAAGCTCTGCCTCCCTGGAGCAATCTTTTTGATGTTCTTAAAAACCCAGCTCCAAGTGGTGCAGGTGTTTGAGCCCAGGGGAGTAATTCAGAGGTGTCACTCACATTTTTATGGATTGGGTAGCTGAGTGAAAGCCTCAGTTTCTCTGCACACCAGGGGGAGGCAGGGCAAACTTCCCTAGATACTGCGCTCGCACAACTGCCTTCCTGTTTACTCCCAAGTTGTCAAATCCTTGGCCTCTCCTGAGCGTGCCACGAAGGAAGCCAAGTACGATGGCTGCTATGTGGATTGCTGGTTTACCAGGAAATGGACCAGGCTTCAACTCATTTCACAGAAGTCATTTCATAGCTGCATTCGGACAGCTACTGCCAAGCTAGGGGGATTTGAGCTGGTGCCTCACAGATGAAAGGCTCAAATCCTTTTCACAATCCAATCTCCCTCTCTAAATACATCCAAGAGTGCAAGCGTATAAATGGGAGGCGACTCACTTTGTGGGCTTTCTGATAAATAAGTTTGACTTGGACAATGGAAGTAGTAAATAATTAAAAGCCGGTCCGTGTGACTAGGCTGTAGCTATTTGGAGAGGATTTTTAGAGTGCTGAGGGGCATTGGCTGTAAAGAGCAAAGGCCACTAATCATAGCTGTATAGCTTAATGTCACAGACAAAAAATATGCCTAAATAGATTGTTTTCTGGCAGAGGCTGATCAGCAAAATACACAGATCTGAGATGAAAGTTAGCAGTGCTAGGGTTAACTGGCTGCATGGCCAGCACCTGTACCTGAGTGAGGTCATGGTCAGCTAAAGGGATGGAGTTCAGGCCACACAAGTAAATGACTGAGAGAAAGCTAGGTTACAAAAACTGAGGGAACTGAGTCTTGGTGTACAAGACTGACACTCCACTCCCTACTGGCTGAGCCTGGGGACAGAAGGCAGGACATGGACCCTCAGAGTGGATGACTAAGTTAACATCTCTTTATCACCTTCTGTCCAAGGTTGTTTCCCACCAGTTTTTGACGCATTGGCCATTCTTGTTCCAAGTAGCCCAAGTGATGGAGTAACCACCATTTTTTGAGGGAGACCAGTACTACACAGGGGCAGATTTTCCTTGTCTTAGTTTTGTCCTGCTACTCCTAGTTATAAACTCATCTATCATACTAAATTCCTCTCCAGCATTGCTATTCACCCACTTGAAACAACTGTAGGTTTATGGCCCCTCCAAAATCTGCTCACTACTGTTCCTCTCCTTGACTTTTCCTATCCCTTGTAAGCTTACATGAGCAGAAAAGTTACCCTTGCTGGTCATGCATCAGTGAGCTCCAGCACTACTATCCCAAGAGCTTTGAAGGCTGTTTTTCATGGGCTGGTATTGGTACTCAAGTGCCCCAGCAGATGCTGTTTCTTTTCTCCATTCTTAAACACAGCAAGCCTGGTACTCAAAGCCTCTGCAGTGTACTTGTCCTGTGAAGGTGGGTCGGCTGGAAAGGAACTCGGGATAAGGCCATGTTGAGCAGTCTAGGTGCTGACTGCATCAGCCACTTACAGCTGGGTAGTTACTCTTCGTGGAGACTGGTGGTGTCTGCTCTGGCTCAGTGCCCAGCTTTACCTTTTCCATGTTGGAGGTAGCTTCCAAGACACTTCCACCCCAATAAAATGCAGTCTACTTTATTAACTAATTATATACAGGAAGAGCTCTATTTTCATTTCAAACAAGTTGTTTCCAGAACAGTGGATTTAAAAACAAAGTCATGGTCCCCTGTAACCAACCCTGTGATACAGCTGGAACCAGCTATAGCTCAACTAAAAGGCACTACCCCCAATTGTTTCCTAAAGGCACTTAGATAAAAAAAAAAGACAACAAAAGACAGTTTATTTGCAACAGAATTCAGAGCCTAGGAGTTGAGTGAACACTAATTCATCCAAGGTCACAATCAGGAGGCACAGTCTGAAAACAACATACTTGCATACAGCTCATCATACATTATCTTTAAGCTTGTTAAATAAATGTATTGTTTAAGAACAATTATTAGTCATTGGAGGGAGGCTTTCCTCCAATAGAAGTCTAGTGTCAGCATCAGGTCTGCCTCAAACACTCCTGCAAAAGATTCCAGGCAGGAAAAGGGGTGTTACTAGAAGGTGCTCTAGAGAGGTTGGCAAATCAACCAGCCTGGGCCAGGAACACGGGGATGTTAGGACTGATGTACCATGTGGAGACTGTAACCCAGTGAGGGATGTGGCTCTGTCAGTTTATTTTATAAACGCATCACTAGATTGTCAATTTACATTTAACCACAAAGGGTAAAACCTGGCCATAGACTGAAGGCTCATGAGAAGCCCACAGAGATAATAGGGGCACACTCATTAAGTGAGCCTCAAGGCTAAGACATGGCCCTGGCCACTCTTAGCAAACTTATGAAATACAATGATTCAGGCTAGTAAAGTCTGTGGACATTGTGAGACAGCAGGGTCTCATCAAGCAGAGAAAGCATGCTGCAACCAGGCTCGAGTAGAGAGGCACAATTCATGTATGGGGGATGGGGAAGAGTAGTTTTGAATTGTACTTGTTACCGATGTGCCCCTCTCTTCATGCACTTGAACCAGTGCCAACCCCTCTAGTGAAGTTACTTAAACTTCAGGGCATGGAGCCATTAACAGCTAGGAGGCAGAAAGGAGGGAGTTGAGGGGGGGCGCTAAGTGCTATGACAGGAGAGAATTGTTTGAAGTACATTAGGAGGCTTTTTCCTTTCATGATGCAGCTGGTACAGGCCACTGCTGGAGAGAGGACATCAGTCTGGCTGGAACTTTGCTGCACTATTGTACCCTACCTAGTTTTCACTGTACATTAGTTACGCCTCAGGAAGCCACTCCTTCCACATCACCTTGGATATTTATTTGGGTCTGGAAAACACCAGGATTGTAAAGGGAAGAACCTGCACTGCCAGGCATGGAAGAATGGAGCCAAGAGTCTTCCTTATCCCCTGTCAAAATCCCAGAAGGGGTAGTCACATCTGATCCCCTTGATTTTCATTCACATGCTGATCAGCTACATGAAACGGCAAAAGCTGAAAGTGCGAGTGTGTTCATGTGTGAGCGCTGGGAGAGAGCTCTCCCACCACTCCTGGTAAACCACCTCCATGAGGTGTTTAGCTCTGAGCGCTGGGAGCCTGTCCACACTAGCGCTTTAAAGTGCTCAGACTTGCTGTGCTCAGGGGGGGTGATTTTTCACAACAGAGCCAGCAAGTTCGAGCGCTATAAAATATAAGTGTAGACAAGCCCTCAGAGACTCTACAATGAGTACACGGTGACAAAGAAAACACTACTCCCAGTTCATCACAGCTGAGCCCATAGCTTTCTGGGACATTAACAGCTGGCAGTAGTTGCTTAAAGTAGCAGCAAGCCACAATGTGCTGAGAGGTCAGTGGCTATTTGGACACGACCAGAACATGAACTGAAGTTCATGTTGGGACTGATTCTAAGGCCGCACTGACCATGCATCCCCTGGGCCAATCTAGCTTTTTCTTCCTTGCCTCTGCCATGTCTCACCCTCTGGTGATTTTACTTAATTTCAGAACATCTGGGGATAGTAGAGTTTGTGTAAGAGGCTGCTTGAGACCATGCAGCCCTGCCCCTCATCACATTCAGGGGCTGTAAAACAGATATTTTTGTAGCATCTTTCATCCCAAAGTACCTTACAAATGAGCTAATCAACTCTGAATAGTAGCAGTTCTCCAGCTTTCCCATTCCATGACACTTTGGGGGAGACCCAGGTCCACCTTTCCCACAGATCAAGAAGGGCTCCAAGGGCCCAAGATTGACCTTAGGCCAAAGTATCAGAACCAACAATATACAGAGATCACATCAAGAACCCGAGCAGTCATTTCACACCACACAGCTGCTTAGGACAGGAGATGTGGTGTAAAATAACCAGTTAAGCTGCAAGGGGATTTAAGGAGGCAGAACAGCATTTCTCCCATCAGAATCAGGCCAGCACACTCAGCTAACAGCCCACCTCCTACCCAGAAAACCAAGAAATCTTTAAAAAAAGCGGTCAGGAACTCAGCTTTACATCTCATCTCTAGCACCTTAGCAACACAGAATTCCCTAGTTCCACAGTTTAGCTGTGACTCAGAGGGAAGACCACCAACTATTGAATCAACCCTGCTGCCCACAGGGATCTCACAGAAGGACCTGAACCCTGCCTTGTTCGTGAGATCTGTTGGGCTCCTAGCACGAGGGGCCTGGCTGGAGGGTGGGAAGCTCTCCAGTGGCTGCTGCCCAGCTCTGACATTGGAAGTGGTTGCTCCAGCACAGCCATTTTGAGAAGTTCCAGTTTGGTGATTATGATAAAGAAGAGTCCTCAGGGTTGGAACTCCTTTTACTGACCCTACAGTCTCTTATCCCCCAACCCTCATCTAAGAGGAGCAAGTTTTAAGGCTGCTATATCCTCCCTACACAAGTTTGGTTCTTTACCTGCCAGCCCAGCCAAGGAATATCCTCTACAGAAATGTCACTCTTTAATAGCTTTCTTCGTGTCACTTGGTTTAACCGGAAAGAAAAAAGAAAAATCACAATATTGTAAACAGTCAGAACAATAGAGCCAGCTGCTGACAATTTGCATTGAATGACAAATCTGAGTCTAACAGTACATGGCTGCAAAATCGAGATGAAATCAACAGGGCTTCAATGGTTTATTTAAAGTCTCTTTCTGCTACTTAAAAATGCAATTGCATGATCAGTAAGCCGAAGTGGCCAGTTTGAAATGTTCCTGCTGTTCAGAGCTGAGCAGAACAAGAATACAGCAGAAAACCAGCAACATTAAACAGACTTGAAAGCGGCCCCAAGTCTGGCCCAGATACAATATGCCCACTGGAGTTAATAAGAATGGTGCACGCTTCTCGGAGCAGACCTGAGCCCACTAGGCCTCTGGTGATTTACCAGCAGCACTCTAATTTTGTGGACAGAAGTTTCTACAAACTGTCCCAGAGGGTTTTGCTGGCCCAGAGATCAGTCACATCCCCGCCTCCCTCCCCCAGGCATTAAGTACAGAATTTTTTAGAAAATTAAAATAGCCATTGTCTCATACTGGCTCCTTTATCAACCATTCATAAAACCTCCCAGATCTGAGCATTTATTCTTTAAAAATAAAATGCTTTAAAAGGACAGTTCAATAATCTTGTAAATATCTACTTGCTACATAATTTCAATCAGGGAAAATCTACAAATACAACATAAATCGTGGTCAAGGGTGGCTCTGGTGTGACCTCAAGAGCTGGTCCATCTAGCATGGGTGCCAGGCTGCTGGGTGGGAAATCCCCAACACCAGGAATCCCTGTGAGCTGCCCAGGCATTGTCCTGACTAGGACATTGGTGGTAAAACACACACTGATTTTCATGGTGTATGTTGCGTCTCAGTCAGCCGGGGAATGATCCTCATCCTCTTGGTGACTGCAGTTAGAGCGAGCGAAGGGGCAGAGAGAGGCTCTCGCTCTGTGTCCAGCATTAATGGCAGTGCTCCGTGATATCCACAACAACTGCCTTTTTCCAGCTGAAGAGGAAGTAGCCAGTGCCTGCGCCTGCTGCCACAGCTATGCAGAGGTATGCATTGTAGGTCATGAAGATCAGCATGAGGAAGTAACTGACCACCACTTGTATGATGTGCAACACAGTCTGCAGGAGATGAGGGAAGCTCAGCATCTGTTGTCTGAGGAATCAGAAAAATATGACCAGTCAGTGAACAAGAGTCACAGGATGGGAAATGCAGGGTCCCCGCAGACAGAAAATAACCCATGGGCTAGGAATGCCAAATTACATAACATAAGCCTGGCCGTACTGTGTCAGACCATAGGTCCAACCACCCCAGTATCCTGCCTACCGACAGTGGCCAATGCCAGGTACCCCAGAGGGAGTGAACCTAACAGGTAATGATCAAGTGATCTCTCTCCTGCCATCCATCTCCACCCTCTGACAAACAGAGGCTAGAGACACCATTCCTCACCCATCCTGGCTAATAACCATTAATGGACTTAACCTCCATGAATTTATCCAGTTCTCTTTTAAACCCTGTTATAGTCCTAGCCTTCACAACCTCCTCCGGCAAGGAGTTCCACAGGTTGTCTGTGTGCTGTGTGAAGAACTTCCTTTTATTTGTTTTAAACCTGCTGCCCATTAATTTCATTTGGTGGCCCCTAGTTCTTATATTATGGGAGCAAGTAAATAACTTTTTCTTATCCACTTTCTCCACACCACTCATGATTTTATATACCTCTATCATAGCCCCCCTTAGTCTCCTCTTTTCCAAGCTGAAAAGTCCTAGCCTCTTTAATCTCTCCTCATACGGGACCCGTTCCAAACCCCTAATCATTTTAGTTGCCTTTCTCTGAACCTTTTCTAATGCCAGTATATCTTTTTTGAGATGAGATCACATCTGTACACAGTATTCAAGATGTGGGTGCACCATGGATTTATGTAAGGGCAATAAAATATTCTCCGCCTTATTCTCTATTCTTTTTTTAATAATTCCTAACATCCTGTTGGCTTTTTGACTGCCACTGCACACTGTGTGGACGTCTTCAGAGAACTATCCACGATGACTCCAAGATCTTTTTCCTGATTAGCTGTAGTTAAATTAGCCCCCCATCATATTGTATGTATATTTGGGATTACTTTACATTTAACCACATTAAATTTCATTTGCCATTTTGTTGCCCAATCACTTAGGTTTTTTGAGATCTTTTTGAAGGTGGCCATGAAACACCAAGAGAGATGGGATAGTAAAGGGCAGAGATCTCCTGTCATGTGTATTTGTCACAGATGACTAGAATGTCCTCCATGAAGCTGGGTGCTTTGTAATAAAACCAGTTATTCCTGGATAAGGAATAATGAGGTTCACAGAGTGATCACAGCTGCTAAGGTTTGAGGGTCAAAATCATTCCAGCTCATTTTACTACCTGGCCCTCATTGCCAGCCACACAGGGCAGCTTGTCTGCAAACAGAGGCCTTGACCACTCGTGGGCACAGAAAGATCCTTTGGTGCCTTATGTAAGAATAGGCAGAGTCTAGTGTCCTGGCCAAATTAAAATGTGGAAACAGCACACCTCCCTACGAGCTTCCCCTGCTTTTATTTCGTAAAAAGGGCCTCATGTGGCTGATGCAGAGTAGCTGTTGCATTCCCTTCCCTCCAAAAAAGGGAGCTGCAGGTTCCTGTATTTATAGTTCATTCTTTAGGCTCCTTCAGGATGAAGCGTGTACAAGCATGAAGTTAGTCTTCTGCAGTAAAACTATTTGAGCTGCCTAGAATTTGCTATGTTTCAGTCTTCGTGTTTTCTGCTGAGATGAGCAGGGTTTGTGTTAGAAGGAAAGTGAATTCTTACCCAACTGTTTTGTGCGTCTCCATCAAAGTGGTGCCGTTTGGTCCCGGGACAGGCATGGAGTTGTAGCGAATGCTGACCTGTGATTTACGGAGCAGACTCTCCCGGGCTATTTTGAGGCCCTCATAAAACATGGCTAGGAAGAATACTGCGACAAAAGCACCAGCCATTTCTGATAGACAGGAAAGGACAGAACAAGGTTACTGTCTCTGCACAGGATGAGCCATCTGCTTCAAGCACACAGAGAAAAGCACCTAACAATCCAACAAATAGCTCCCACCGCACAGGCCACAGGGAGTGCGATGTCCAACCCCATAAAGCGAAACTCTCAACCACATTTGCTAAGGCTTGTGCAACACTCAAATAGTGACACGGAAGTCATCCCATCACCTTCAGCCTCTGTGCCCCAATTTCCAACCTGTTAACCATCTTGCCCTGGACACTCTAGGAACCTATGACCTCATGGGGTGGGGTCATTCAGACAAGACTGACCAGTAGCAAGCCTTTGGTTTGGCCTGGGGTGAGCAACAAGTCAGCCGCTTTGCTAAAATAGCTTTACTAACCTCCAGGTGTATTGATCACCAGTCCAGAAAACAGCAGCGGCACGTTCTTGTAGCTGAAGTGGAAAGTCATGTCCTGGCCAAGACAGAAAAATCATTTAAAACCTCAGCAAGATGTGTAAGCTTCAAGGGAGGGAGATAGAGCTTCACAGAGCACACAGATGAGTCCTAAGGAAGTTAAATGGAAGGACTGTGTTACAATATAACTAGAGTTAACCTTGGAGGCAGTTCATTCTGGTCAGTAACTAAGTACATAGTTGAAGTAACATTCTACCACAAACCTAGTGTAGCACTGCGGTCTGAGTTTCTGCTAGGTATTGCTGTGCACACTCCAGTTACAGCTGTAACTAGTTGCTTGTCCATTTGTAACCAACTATTTTAATTGGAAAGTCACTGGATTTTACTCTAAAAATTTCTCCAGCAGCATTTTTATTACTTTGCCTATATGTAAATTTCCATCAGTGGATTTTGTTTTGTCAGTTTGTGTGTGCACGGTGATTAACATTTATCCATAAAAATCTAACCCTTCAAACCCTACCTATAAAACTTAAATAAAGGGCTTATTGTTTTGTTAATTTCTTTTTAAAAAGTGATCGCACGTACATCGTTAAGGTGTGCCCAGTGTGTTGTCTGAAGATGCACAGTTCTGTGGCGATGCACCTTCCCCCCCCCAGTGTTAAAAAGATCTGCGAATCTTACTGGCAGATGTCTTCAGGTTATAAAAAGATGACAATGTAAATTAAAGACAGAACAGAGAGAGGATGCGTCTTCTTCAGGCAACTAACAGAAGTTACTAGATCACAGGCCCTGGTTTTCATGGGGGACTTCAATCACCCCGATATCTGCTGGGAGAGCAATACAGCAATGCACAGACAATCCAGGAAGTTTTTGGAAATTGTAGGGGACAATTTTCTGGTGCAAGTGCTGGAGGAAACAACTAGGGGCAGAGCTCTTCTTGACCAGCTGCTCACAAACAGAAAAATTAGTAGGGGAAGTGAAAGTGGATGGGAACCTGGGAGGCAGTGACCATGAGATGGTCAAGTTCAGGATCCTGACACAAGGAAGAAAGGAGAGCAGCAGAATATGGACTCTGGACTTCAGAAAAGGAGACTTTTCTGCTGATGGGCAGGATCCCCTGGGAGAACAACATGACAGGGAAAGGAGTCCAGGAGAGCTGGCTGTATTTTAAAGAATCTTTATTGAGGTTGCAGGAACAAAACCATCCCAATGTGCAGAAAGAATAGTATATATGGCAGGCGACCAGCTTGGCTTAACAGTGAAATCCTTGCACACAACACAAACACAAAAAAGAAGCTTACAAGAAGTGGAAGATTGGACAAATGACTAGGTAGGAGTATAGAAATATTGCTCAGGCATGCAGGACTGAAATCAGGAAGGCCAAATCACACTGGAGTTGCAGCTAGCAAGGGGATATGATAGAAGAGTATATAAAATCATGAGTGATGTGGAGAAAGTGGATAAGGAAAAGTTATTTACTTATTCCCATAATACAAGAACTAGTGGTCATCAAATGAAATTAATAGGCAGCAGGTTTAAAACAAATAAAAGGAAGTTCTTCTTCACGCAGCGCACAGTCAACTTGTGGAACTCCTTACCTGAGAAGGTTGTGAAGGCTAGGACTATAACAGAGTTTAAAAGAGAACTGGATAAATTCATGGTGGTTAAGTCCATTAATGGCTATTAGCCAGGACGGGTAAGGAACGGTATCCCTAGCCTCTGTCTGACAGAGGATGGAGATGGATGGCAGGAGAGAGATCACTTGATCATTGCCTGTTAGGTTCACTCCCTCTGGGGCACCCTGGCATTGGCCACTGTCGGCCGACAGGATACTGGGCTAGATGGACCTTTGGTCTGACCCGGTACAGCCTTTCTTATGTTCTTATGTTAAGGGATGTTAAGAGTAACAAGAAGGGTTTCTACAGGTATGTTAGCAACAAGAAAGTGGTCAAGGAAAGTATGGGCCCCTTATTGAATGGGGGAGGAAACCTGGTGACAAAGAATGGAAAAGCTAATGTACTCAATGCTTTTTTTGCCTCCGTCTTCACAAACAAGGTCAGTTCCGAGACTACTGCACTGTGCAGTACAGTATGGGGAGGAGGCGACCAGGCCTCTGTGGATAAAGAAATGGTTCAGGACTATTTAGAAAAGCTGGACGAGCACAAGTTCATGGGGCTGGATGCACTGCATCTGAGGGTGCTAAAGGAGGTGGTGGATGTGATTGCAGAGCCATTGGCCATTATCTTTGAAAACTTATGGTAATCGGGGGAGGTTCAGGGTGACTGGAAAAAGGCTAATGTAGTGCCCATCTTTAAAAAAGGAAAGGATGACAACCAAGGGAACTACAGTCCCTTTAGCCTCACCTCAGTCCCTAGAAAAATCATGGAGCAGGAATCAATTTTGAAGCACTGAGAGGAGAGGAAGGTGATCAGGAATAGTCAACATGGATTCACCAAGGGAAAGTCATGCCTGACCAACCTGCTTGCCTTCTATGAGGAGATAACTGGCTGTGTGGAATGGGGAAAGCGGTGGACGTGTTATTCCTTGACTTTAGCAAAGCTTTTGATACAGTCTCCCACAGTATTCTTGCCAGCAAGTTAAAGAAGTACGGGCTGGATGAATGGACTATATGGTGGATAGAGAGCTGGCTAGATCATCAGGCTCAACAGGTAGTGATCAATGGCTCCATGTCTAGTTGGCAGCCGGTATGAAGAGGAGTGCCCCAAAGGTCGGTCCTGGGGCCGGTTTTGTTCAATATCTTCGTTAATGATCTGGAGAATGGCGTGGATTACACCCTGAGCAAGTTTGCAGATGACACTAAACTGGGAGGAGTGTTAGATACCCTGGAGGGTAGAGATAGGATACAGAGGGACCTAGACAAATTGGAGGATTGGGCCAAAAGAAATCTGATGACATTCAATGGACAAATGCTGAGCCCTGCACTTAGTGCAGAAGAATCCCATGAATTGCTACAAACTAGGGACCGAGTGGCTAGGCAGCAATTCTGCAGAAAAGGGCCTAGAAGCTGGATATGAGTCAACAGTGGCCCCCTGTTGCCAAGGAAGTTAACAGCATTTTGGGTTGTATAAGTAGGGGCATTGCCAGCAGATAGAGGGATGTGATCATTCCCCTCTATTCTGCATTCGTGAAGCCTCATCTGGAGTACTGTGTCCAGTTTTGGGCCCTGCACTACAAGAAGCATGTGGAAAAATTGGAAAGAGTCCAGCAGAGGACAACAAAAATGATTAGGGGGCTGGAGCACATGACTTATGAGGAGAGGCTGAGGGAACTGGGATTATTTAGTCTGCAGAAGAGAAGAATGAGGGGGAATTTGATAGCGGCTTTCAACTACCTGAAAGGGGGTTCCAAAGAGGATGGATCTAGACTGTTCTCAGTGGTACTAGATGACAGAACAAGGATTAATGGTCTCAGGTTGCAGTGGGGGAGGTTTAGATTGGATATCAGGAAAAACATTTTCACTAGGAGGGTGGTGAAGCACTGGAATAGATTACCTAGGGAGGTGGTAGAATCTCCTTCCTTAGAGGTTTTTAAGGTCAGGCTTGACAAAGCCCTGACTGGGATGATTTAGTTGGGAATTGGTCCTTGTAAAGGTGCATGACTCACCCCTGTAGCACCTCCTGCTGGTTGCTTCTGGGAATTAGCTTGTCCAGCCTCCGGAGCACCCTGTGCAGGCCGGTGTCCTGCTTGTAGCTGGCCCCCGTGTCCCTCCCAGACCTGGGTGCCTCTTTACCCTGGGGCTGCCCCCTGGCAATACCCCCACCACTCTCTATGGGTCTCCCTTCTCTGGGAAACCTCCAACCCTCTAATCCCCACCTTGCCTCAGTCTGGGCTACTGCCAGTCATCACCAAGCCTCCGCTCCCTTGGGCAGACTGCAGTGTAAAAGCCAGTCATCATAGGCAAGAGGGTTCAGACCTGCTGCCTTCCTCTGCCTCCCAGTACCTCTATGGGCCTTGGACCAGGCCCTGCAGCCTTGGGAGTTGCCAGCCTGGAGCTACCCTGCTCCTGTGGCTCTCCCCAGCCCTGCTTCACTTCCAGTACCCTTACTGCAGGCAGCCTGGAGAAAGACTCCTTCTGGGAGTCTGGCTCACAGCCTTTTATACAGGCCAGCTGTGGCCTGATTGGGGCATGGCCCAGCTGCAGCTGCTCTGCCAATCAGCCCAGCTTTTCTCCTGCCCCAGCCCTCTGCCAGGGCTATTTTAAGCCCTTCCGGGCAGGAGCGGGGGAACCACCCCACTACAGTCCTGCTTTGAGCAGGGGCATGGACTAGATGACCTCCTGAGGTCCCTTCACACACTCTATACATATTGATGAGAGAGCTTCGCAGAAGAGAGTCCTGACTCCACCAGTATAACAGAAATGCAGGGTGGGTGTCTGGGCTGGTACCAGCAGGATTCAGGAAGCTGTAATAGCAAGGAGGGAAGTCACCCATCTCATTTCACATGGCAAACCAGACAGCAGCAAATGCTAAGTGAGTGGAATGGCCCCTCTCTCCAGTGGGCCACAGTATGCAGGGTCCATTTAATCATAGAATATCAGGATTGGATGGGACCTCAGGAGGTCATCTAGTCCAACCCCCTGCTCAAAGCAGGACTAATCCCCAGACAGATTTTTACCCCAGTTCCCTAAATGGTCCTCTCAAGGATTGAACTCACAACCCTGGGTTTAAGGAGGCTAATGCTCAAACCACTGAGCTATCCCTTCCCCCTTATAGGAGCAGCATCTGCAGTGGCTGCCACATAACATTTAGTATGAAAATGGGTGCAAAGACACAACTCTCAGTCCTAGGGGGAGGAACTGAAAGAGAAAAAGCAGCACAAATACCAGAAAGCTAGTGGAGCCAGTCAGTAAGGTATTTCCACCTGTAGTGAGAGGAGAACAATGGAGACAGCCAGCCAGGGGGATTAGAGGGAAAGTTTCTGTCTACCTCTGCTGGCAAGAGGGCACTGTGACAGTGCCACCCATAAGGCTTTATGGAAATATGCTTATATAACATAACTAGAATGTGTTTTCTGCTACATATGCCATGTAACATATCTCTGTAAAGTCATGATCTACTGAATCTATTAATCCTATTTGTATGCACGTGTCATTTTTGTACTCGAAGTTATGAATATTGGCTGCATACTTGTTTGATTCTAAGTAGTCTGTAGTGAAGCAGTTGGTCGGCTTCCTGAGAAAAGACTATTCTCAGTAAGTGCCTCATCAAGAAACACTTAAGCCAACAATGAACTTGGAAATACCAGTCCACATCTGGACTTTCCCAGGAATGTGGCTTGGCTGGTAAGGAACTCAGTCATGCATGGACATGTGACTTGCCCAGGTGACTCCAATACTCCATTTTGTAGCTGGACTTTGCATAGGAGAGAGGAGGGGGTCTCCACCCACAAGAGAAAGTCTATTTAAGCCCGGGGAGGCCCCTCCATTTTGTCTTCAGCTGGCTAAAGAGAGAGCCTCTCCACCCCCAAAGATACCTGAAAGAAAATTGGAACAAAGGACAGTGACTGCAAGGGGTGTGAGTGATTACTGGACCCAGACTAAAAGGAGATTAGTCTGTAAAAGGAAGGTTTCAGAGTAGCAGCCGTGTTAGTCTGTATCCGCAAAAAGAACAGGAGTACTTGTGGCACCTTAGAGACTAACAAATTTATTAGAGCATAAGCTTTCGTGGGCTACAGCCCACTTCTTCGGATGCTGTAGCCCACCGAAGCTTATGGTCTTATAAAATTGTTAGTCTCTTAAGCGC